AGGCGGCAGGGGGACGCCGGGCCTAGGGAGGGAGGGGGCCCGAGGCGCCGCGGGCGGCCGCGACCCCCACCCCCGCCGGGACTGTCCCGTTACTTACCCGCCGGGAAGCTTCGGGCTCCGCCGGGGCTGTCCCGGCCGCCGGCCTCCGGGGCCAGGAAGCGCCCCCACATCGCGGGCAGGAGGGCCCGGTGGGCCGGGGCGCCCGACACCCCACGTCCGTCCGCCCCGCCTTCGCCTCCCGCTTCTCCGGGGCGGAAACTTGTGCGGCGCCTGGGCCGCGGCGGCCCCGGCGGGAGGGCGGGCGGGCTGGTTAACGGCTGCTCAGCGACGGGCGGGGAGCGCAGGGGCGAGATTCGCCGCGGCGGTGGCGGCGGTGGCTGCCATGGCCGAGCCGGCTGGGCTGAGGCCCGGGCCGGGGAGGCGGCGGCGGCTCCGCGGTGGCGGCGGCTCCGCGGTGACGGCGGCTCCGTCCCTTGCTGAGCCCAGGGAGAGGGGCGGCGGGCGAAGTTGCAGCTGCGGCTTCTCTCCGCCCCCTCCGCCCGCTGAGCCGCCGCCGGAGCCGGAGCCGGAGCGGGGCGGGGCCTGGCGGGAACGGGGCGGGGCCTGGCGGGGGCGGGGCCTCGGGCGCCTACATAAGGCGTGCGCGGCGCGGGGCGGGGACTGTGGGCTGCTTTCGGTGGTTACGTCTCTTTGCTCAGCAAGCAGCGAATGGGGTCGCCCGGCCCGCTAGCTGCACCTTTCCTTCCCCAGTCCCGCGCCCTGCGAGGTGAGAGAAGGGCGGTAATGTAGCCCGGGGCCGTGTCTTTCGTACCCCCTCCCTTGGGTAATCGCTCAGCCCTCCGGGGCGCCTCTTTGAAGGAGACGTGAAAGACCTGCCTTCGCAGCACAACTGCTTGAGATAAGAGGATAATCCAGGAGGGGTAGAAGGACTCCTAGTCTCATTTGGGATTGAGATTAAAGTTGTCATCATGCATGCCACAAACATCGTTTATAGATCCCTGTGAGGGATAGAAAAGAGGTTGTTCCAATTCAATGAGGGAGGAGACAGGAAAAAGCAAAGACGACGAAGACCCAAGGGTAACTAGTACCAGAAGCCTCGGGGAGGGGCCGCAAATTTTAATCTAGTAGCCCAGTGTTTCAGATAAGCAACCAGAAAGGAGTGAAATTGGCACCAAAGTGTGTAATGGAAGTGTAACTGTCTTTACCAACTACACCTTCACGTTTCTCCTCTGCCTGATCAGTTTCCACTCTTCACCTGAACCCCGAGTGCAGGAGCAGGTATCTAAGGAAGGACCAAAGACTGCAGCATCCTCTTTAAATCTTACTTCTCATTGGCAATAGTACAATCCTTCCAACATTTAGATACAAAAGTTTATTTAATAAATACTGGTCGAGCACTATAGAAGGAGGCGGGCTCTGCTCTAGGCAGAGGCAAACCAGAAAGCAAGTCTCTACCCTCAAGAGGCTTTGAGTCCAGTGATGCTTTTTCCTGTTTTGGAAGTTTGCTAACAAAGGCCTCATATTTGTATTTAGACATCCCGTAGTTGGGAAATACTGCCTAAAACTTTTAGAGGTTAAATTACATTTAGGTGTATGGTCTATCACTTACCACATCTATGTTGTAATATATCTGGTTGCAGTGTACTGTTCCCTCTGCCTATGGTACAGTTCCACTTATTTCTCCAAGTCATGAGCAGCTGGCCAAAGGTCACCTGTTTCTGAATAGAAAGTAAACAGAAACATGAAAGAATGTGATTGGTTCCTTTCTCTGATGTACACTTCAATAGTATAGGTTCAAAAAGAAACTTAAAAAAATCAATTCCAAAAAGAATTATCAGAAGCTATAGAACTATAACAAAGTATCCTTTTTGTTCATGATTTCTAGTTACCATGGTTTCATATTAGGTACAGCATTTATTAAATAACAAACTTTTTTATACAGTTCTAAGAAATGTATGAACTATTACAGATATAGCTTGGTCCTTTGTGAGTTTAAAATACTTTTTCCGTATTCCAAAACCCTGCCAATTTCCACTCAATTCTAAACAGTTTTTAAAAAAATCATTTACTCAGGTTTTCTACATGTTTTTATCGATGTGAAGGGCGTACCATTTATACACACAAAACAAGTACATGTGAAACTGAGACTATACAATATTTCAATACGTGTTACAGAATAAAAGCAAACAAAAACATATCGCTATTTTGGCTGTTGGCACCAAAGATAAAAATTTTTGTGTTTCTACTAATTAAACTTGGGAGGATAGAGATCTAATGCAATTAAATAAGTGGGAATATTATGTATATGAACTAAACTGTAACCATCCATTTTTAAAAATCTTATGGATTGTAAGTATATACTGAACTGAGATCCCTTCCACCCATGATACACCCAGTATCCATGGTTCTCAGAATGATTAAATTTATCATAGCACATGATCAAGAGCCTAAAGACTACCTAACATTACTAAGCTTGATGTTGTAAACTGGCATATTTTTGTTTTGTTGTAACAGTACGTAAAGACCGTAAGGCGAATCCTAGAAGCAAAGACATTTATTGTTGAACTCCATAATTTTGGAGTTACTCTTATAAGCAGAGATAACACAAGTTGTGTAATGAAAATAGCGACTGTGTATGTTTGTATGTGTGTGGATAAATATGGTTCCTTAGGTGAGATTTAGATAATTCATGTTTTGGGAGGGGACTTATAAAAATATAAACTAGATCACAGAAGAGGAAAATAGTACTAAAAATGCCGTATTTAATATCAAACTATAGGGGCCGGCCCCATGGCGTAGCAGTTAGGTGCGTATGCTCCACTGCTGGCGGCTGGGGTTCGGATCCCTGGCGTGCACTGATCCACCGCTTGTCAGGCCATGCTGTGGCCACATCCCATATAAAGTGGAGGAAGATAGGCACAGATGTTAGCCCAGGGCCGGTCTTCCTCAGCAAAAAGAGGAAGATTGGCATGGATGTTAGCTCAGGGCTGATCTGCCTCACAAAAATATATATATATATATATATCAAACTATATTAAACTCTTCATTTAAAATGTTGCATTCCTGAAAACAACAATATGTTAAAAAGATCATACACCATGATCAATTGGGATTTACTCTAGGGATGCAGGGATGGTTCAACATCAGCAAATTAATCAACGTTATACACCACATTAACAAAATGAAGAATAAAAATCACATGATCATCTCAATAGATGCAAGAGAAAGCATTCAACAAGATACAGCATCCATTTATGATAAAAACTCTGAATAAAATGGGTATAGAAGGAAAGTAGCTCAAAATAATAAAGGCCATATATGACAAACCCACAGCTAACGTCATACTTAATGGTGAAAAACTGAAAGCTATCCGTCTAGGAACAGGAACAAGACAAGGATGCCCACTTTTGCCACTCTTATTTAACATAGTATTGGAAGTCCTAGCCAGAGCAATTAGGCAACAAAAATAAATAGAAGGTATTCAAATAGGAAAGGAAGAAGTAAAACTGTCACTATTTGGAGATGACATGATTTTATATACAGAAAACCCTAAAGAATCTACCAAAAAACTATTAGAAATAATAAACGAAGACAGTAAAGTTGCAGGGTACAAATTCAACACACAAAAATCAGTTGCATTTCTATACACCAACAACGAACTAGCAGAAAGAGAAATCAAGAATACACTCCCATTTACAATGGCAGCAAAAAGAATAAAATAACTGGGAATAAATTTAACCAAAGAGGTGAAAGACTGGTACACTGAAAACTATAAAACATTGTTGAAAGGAATCAAAGAAGTCACAAGGAAATGGAGAGATTTTCCATGCTTATGGATTGCAAGAATTAATATAGTTAAACTGTCCATACTTCCTAAAACAATCTACAGATTCCTTGCAATCCCTATCAAAATCCCAATGACATTTTTCATGAAAATAGAACAAAGAATCCTAAAATTTATATGGAACAACAACAGACCCCGAATAGCCAAAGCAATCCTGAGAAAAAAAGAACAAAGCTGGGGGTATCACACTCCGTGATTTCAAAATATACTACAAAGCTATAGTAATCAAAACAGGATGGTACTGGAACAAAAACAGACCCACATATCAATGAAACAGAATCAAGAGCCCAGAAATAAACCCACACATCTATAGAGAGTTAATTTTTGACAAAGGAGCCAAGAACATACAACAGAGAAAGGAAAGTCTCTTCAATAAATGGTGTTGGGAAAACTGGACAGCCACATGGAAAAAAATGAAGGTAGACAATTATCTTACACCATACACAAAAATTAACTCAAAATAGATTAAAGACTTGAATGTAAGACCTGAAACCATAAAACTCCTAGAAGAAAACATAGGTAGTACGCTCTTCGACATCAGTCTGCTCTTCGACATCAGTCTTAGCAGTATCTTTTTGCATATCACATCTCAGGCAAGGGAAACAAAACAATAAACAAATGGGACTACATCAAACTAAAGAGCTTCTGCACATCAAGGGAAACCATCAACAAAATGAAAAGACAACCTAACAACGGGGAGAAGATATTTGCAAATCATATATCCAATAAGGGGTTAATATTCAAAATATATAAAGAACTCATACAATTCAACAACAAAAACACAAACAACCCAATTAAAAAATGGACAGAGAATCTGAACAGACATTTATCCAAAGAAGATATACAGATGAATAACAGGCATATGAAAAGATGTTCAACATCACTAATCATTAGGGAAATGCAAATCAAAACTACGGTGAAATATCACCTCACACCCATCAGAATGGCTATTATTAAAAAGACAAGAAATAAAAAATGTTGGAGAGGATGTGGAGAAAAGGAAATCCTCATATGCTGCTGGTGGGAATGCAAACTGGCGCAGCCACTATGGAAAACAGTATGGAGATTTCTCAAAAGATTAAGAATAGAACTACCATATGATCCAGCCATTCCACTTCTGGATATTTATCCAAAGAACATGAAAACGCTAATTCAAAACAATATGTGCACCCTTGTGTTCATTGCAGCATTATTCACAGTAGCCAAGACTTGGAAACAACCTAAGTGCCCATCAACAGATGAATGGATAAAGAAGAAGTGGTATAAATATACAATGGAATACTACTCAGCCACAAAAAAAGATGAATTTTTGCCATTTGTGATGAGAGCAAGGTCCAACATAGATGGACCTTGAGGGTATTATGTTATGCAAAATAAGTCAGACAAAGAAAGCCAAATACCATATGATTTCACTCATATGTGGAAGATTAAACAAACACATAGATAAGGAGAATAGATTGGTGGTTTCCAGAGGAGAAGCGGGGAGAGGGGGAGAGATAAAGGGGTAAAAGGGCACATGTGTACAGTGACAGATGGCAATTAGACTTTGGGTGGTGAACACTATATAGTCTACATAGAAATTGAAATATAATGATGTACATCTGAAATTTATGTAATGCTATAAACCAATGTTATCTCTAATAAAAAGTTAATTAGAAAATAAATAAAATGTTGCATTCAAAAAAGTCATTATTTAAAAATTAAAAATAAAT